TGAGGTATTTATTGCATCCATTAAATAAATACTAATAGTATTTATTTAGAGTTCTTTCAAGCAGAAAACTCGGTCTTCCTCTGAGTAGTTGTTACTATTGTTATAGAGTGTCTTAATGCAGTGTTACTTATTTCACCACTAATCATTTCACCTGAAGCTTATTTAGCTGGCAATACATAGAGTTAAAGTTAGCATTTGATTAGTTGCAGATATATATTTTGAATAGGCTAAATAGTTCTTCAGTAAAATGAGTATTGGTAAATTAATACAGAACTGTCTTATGGAATCAATAATGATTTAACCATATAGATATAATTTATAATTTTCTTGTTAGATTTTTTTTGTTTGTAGTGATAATTTGTAATATAATAATCTGTATTCTATATTTAAAAGTGATAGATATTATATTGAAAAGGGGCTCTCTGGTTATTATTAAAATCTTATCTACTAATCGTTTTTTATATAAAGAGGTAAAACATTTGACAAAGTAACTTATTTATAATTACAAACAACCTTAAAATTAAAAAAAATGTCTTCTCATGTTGCTCTCCTCATTGTTATTATCAGTGTAGAAAATAATCATTTATGCTCATACGGTTTTGCGAAATATAAACCTTCTGAAGAAACATTTCTAACTATTAGATAGAAATATTTCTTTCATGCTGATGAAAAGCCTTGTATATTCATAGCTGGTGACATCATTTTTATTTCAGAAAAATATATAGTAGAAAATTTCGAACAATGTGTTACTGTTGGATATGCAAGTACTCTTGATTCTGAAAACTCTACTCATGAATTCGATATTCCTTTGTGTGCTCCACACTGTATGTTGTTCGCATAGTTAACCGTAAACCAAAAGAAACTCAAATAATTATCCATTTTGGTGTGGAATGTACTAAGTATAATACTGTTACTAGTACACATAATGTTAACATGCAAATAATAGTTTTTTATCTTTAAATTTTGTAAGATTTCAAAAATATTTGGGTCTATTAGGATCAAACATTAAAGTAGGCAGTAGCTATTTTATATCTGGCCTTTTTAAATTTTCTTAATCCAGAAAAATGATGATCAAGGCAACCGATATTGAATATTCAAAAATTCCACACTTGAATTATAACATATTTGAAAGCTCTTCATCATCAGTGTCTAATACCTGATCTATCATTGATATTATAGCTGATGACATTAAATCCATTACTACTGAAACACTACTAAAACATCCTGTATTTGTGACTTCTTCTACTTCTTCTGTTAAACATAATACTACTATCACCAATGCTAATCAAAATTATATTGATTTGGATGTTCAAAGTAAAGAAAAGGAAAAGCACTTAGATTGTAGTATTAATGAAAAAGCTACAGAACTATATGAAGTTGAAAATTTTTAGAATATGAATGAAAGTCAGGAAGAAAACTATCAATCTAAAAAATAAAAAAGAAGTATTAGAATAATCACAAAAAAAAAGCAAAAATAAAAAAATAATCAACACATTAATTTTTTTTCTATGCTAGTATCAAGTTTTATTTGTATAGCTGTGCTGCATGTGATGCTGCATGTGATGCTATATGAGATCTCTTATTGGTTTAATAAGTATGATGTTGATACAAATATAGTAACCAATCATAAGTCACATTTCAGATCATCAATCATTGATCTTATGATCTGGATCAGACCAAATTAACATCCCTAGTTTCAATGAGTGTATTCAGGGGCCCTCTTGTCACACAAGTGTGGATTTAGTTTTTATAGTGATTACAAGCATTGTATATATATTTATTAGTAAAAATACACTGTCCTACGTTATAATTAAATAGTTAGCCCTGGTATTTTAACAGCGCTTGTTTTCCTTATTAGAAATCATACACATTGTTTCATTATATTTTTAGTTAGCTCGGAATCAAAAATGTGAACCTGATTATTTGCCAGAAAGTATGAACTAATCGCATTTAATTTTGTACTAATATATGATATTACAATATTACATAACTTATAATATATGTTTCACTTAATTTTTTATATAATTTTTTTGTTTTAATTTTGTATTTAATTTGTATTATAACAAATATTTTATAGATATATCTTTTGCATTGTAATATATTTCTAGATAAACACAATTCATAAATATTTACTGACTTGTTTAAATTACAATAGTTTATTAATTAAACTGTGTTGGACTTTATGGGCATATGTTACTTCGAGGCACTTCAAGAACACTGAACTCAGTGATTATTGCGAATTGTATCACTCTCGGAATAATCACATACCATTTTTGATTGGCCAAAAAATGTAAACAAATATCAGGTGACGATCTCTATAATTTTGTTTTCTTCGTCACTTTCTCCGTCACTTTTGTTACTTTCTTCATCACGTTTGGTGCTTTCTTCATCACTTTTGGAGCTTCTTTCATCATTTTTGGTGCTTCCTTCGTCACTTTTGTCACTTTGGTGCTTCCTTTGTCGCTTTGGTGCTTTTTTTGTTTCTTCATCGCCTTGGCCTTCCTTCGATGCTTTAGTATTTTCATTACTGTTTTGCTTCAACGTTTTGGCGCTTCATCATACTCTTCGTTTTATATTTTCTTCATCTTGGTTTGTAGCTTGGTATATTTCTTTTATAAGATTTTCATAATTTTTTCTTTGTCATTTTAGTTGTTTCTTTCACAATAATTTTTCTGTCTTTTGCGAGAGTTATTTCTCCTACTCGATATCACACAGGGTGATTATATGCTAAAAATATATAATACCTGCAACTAATCAAGCACTAACCCTAACCCTAATCCTAACCCTATGTGATATCAAATAAGTGGTCTGTAGAGGGTTCGGGGAAATGAGCAATAACTCTTTCATTATATTAGTAGTTTTATCACATTAGTAGTTCCATAGAGAGTTCGGGGAAATGAGCAATAACTCTTTCATTATATTAGTAGTTTTATCACATTAGTAGTTCCTCTTTCATTATATTAGTAGTTTTTCATATTAGTAGTCCTTTTTTTTCAGTGGTAAGTCAAACCTCTCTAAATGAACCCCACAGGAACCAAACTTTAACAATGAACAGTAAGAAATTTGCATTTATAAAGGTTGCGTATATATTTGGGTGTATTTAGAGCATTGTATTCATGTTATACTGTTCAGTCATGATATTATCAGAATCAAATAAACTATCCATAAATAGTAAGATTTTATGTAAATAAATTATTAAAAACAATGCAGAAATATGTAGTACAATAATAAATTAATTGTTATCGTTATTTATATATTTTAAAATAATAGCCTTACGGGTAATATAAAAATTATTAATATCAGTATTACGCATTGTGTATATATGCAATTAATTAATTGATCAAATAAATAAATCTTAATTATAGATTTTATTAATTAAATAAATTTATTCTAACAAAAATGCATACATCGATTGATTCAATCAAGCATATCGAAATTGCAAAGATAAAAATAAAAATTTGGCATATATAACCTTAGATTTTATCATTATGAATTTGGCATGCAGTTATCATTATAAATTCGGCATGCATATTCTTAGAATCAAATTAATTAATCTTAATTTCATTGATGAAATTAAAGATTGAATTAATTCGAATCTAAGAATATGCATACCGAATTTGTGACGATGAAATTGAACGTTGAATTAATTCTATCCTAAAGAGATGCGTACTAAATTCGTAATAATAAAAAATGAAAATATTAAATTAATTTGATCATAATTATATGTATCCCGAATTCGTAATGATAAAAAAAATTTAAAATCAAATAAAAAAAATACTCTCATTACATGCCAACACTATATTGAAAAATAAATTATATTAATAAAATTTTTTTTACTAATTGTATCTAAAAGCTATAAAAGACATACTATATTACCTTCGTACTAGCATTTCTTATTCGAAATATCTCAGATAGCGTTGCCTTTTTTTAAAAAAAAAAAAAAATTTGACACAAAATGAAGAAATAATTACAACTTCACTTTATATTAGTAAAAATCCACGATGATGTTTATTTTAATATCCAAGATACAGAACATGCCATTCAATTTTTTGAAGATCTTGGCATTTTATCTCGAGCTCTTTTCTGTAAAAAATATCAAAGCCCTATACATAAGTCAAAAGATCGTTCTCGTAAAGATGATCAAAAATGAGCCTGCAATTCAAGAACTGCTTGCGATATAGACAAACTTTGAGGTCAGGATCTTGGCTAGAAAATTCAAAATTAACACTTGAACAAATTGCTAAGATTATGTTTTGCTGGTCCCATAAATTACCTCAAAAATTTGCTGTCTGTGAAACTGATATTAACGCTCAAACGATGATCGATTGGTATAACTTTTGTCATGATATATGTAGTGTAGCACTGATGAAACAAAGTGATAAAAAAATTGGTAGTGAAGAAAAATTGTAGAAATTGATGAAAGCCTATTTGGTAAGCGCAAATATAATAAAGGAAGAAGAGTAAATGGTCAGTAGGTTTTTGGAGGAATAGAAAGAGGATCGAATAAAATGTTTTTGGTTACGGTTCCTGATTGCATGAAGGAAACATTAACGAAATATTTAGTAGAATATGTAGAAAAAGGAACCACAATTTATAGTGATTGCTGGGCTGCCTACCAGACAGAAGATTTCGAAAAGCACAGATGGAAACATGGAACAGTTAACTATTCAAAACACTTCAAGGACCCTGAAACAGGGATTCATACAAACATGATCAAATCAACTTGGCATGCAGTAAAATCATCTCTTCCATGAAATGGAACTGTCAAAGAATTATATGATTCATATTTTTTAGAATATATGTGGAGGCGACAGTTTGTTCAAAATGACAGTGATGCATTTAACAAACTAGTGGAACATATAGTATTATATGGTAAAAATTTAAAAGAGGTACTTAATATTTTTAAATACAGTAAAACAAATAAACAAAATTTAAATTAATTTTACCCTCAAAATAATTTTAGATTCCTTCAGAATAATTTGACAAAATTGGAGAATTTAATATTTTTTTTCATTTTTATTAATTATTACTGCTGTAAATTCTCGAAATAGCAATCATGGGTGTTATTTTGAATTTTGGCCCGAATTAAGCTTAATTCAGGCCAAAATTCGAAATAACGCTATTTGAGAATTTACGGTATTTCAAAAAAATAAAATTTATTAGTATTTTTAAATTATATGTCATACAAAAAAAAAATCAAATTTATATAAAACTTACCTCATAATTAACAATAGATAGACCCGATTACTTCCTAGTTAAATAAAAAAATAAAATAAATAAATAAATGAAGAATAAATTAAAAAAAGTGCAGTTGATTAATAAATGTATATGAATAGATTAATACAAAAAATCTCAATTAAAAGAAAGATCAAATATCGACTGTCTGATAAAAATCCCTCACCAATAAAAAAACTATTAACACAAATAAATAAAATTGGTTGTAGCTTAATGAATCGCACTAAAGATTTACCTTCAATGATTCATCTCATGGTATCCCTCATTTCATTGATATTTACACGATTCCATTGCCGACTATCTATCCGCACCACCAATACAGCACACCATTCTCTACCCGTCGCTTAACAGTACATCATCCTCTAACCCGTCGAAATATGATAACGGACTGTCAATTACTAGAATTTAAATAGAGGAGATTTGGTTAATAATATTATTAAATCATCCGAATGTTGCACAAATACAAATACGAACAAACTATATTACCCCAAAAATATGAGGGAAAAATGTATATCGCTCAGGATCAAGAAATTTGTAACACGACTAAATTGAATGGTTAACATTATTAAATAACTAGAAAAAAGAAGAAGCCTGATATAAAAAAATAAAAACTTTAGTAATAGTTCAAAGCACAACAAAGACACTAACAAAAAAGACTTAGCTTCACTACTCTTGTTTCGCATTTCCAATTCCAATCAAAAACCCAGCACTTAATGCAGTAATGATTCAAACAGCACAAGAAATTAAAGCTAACCTAAAAAATAAAAATAATTTAGTAATAGGTGTAAAATAAACGACAAAAACGGAGAAAAAAAATACTCAGCTTTGCTACGACTAATTCACAATTCTAAATATTCAAAAAAAAATGTTAGCTTGAACGCAAAAAAAACACAAAAAACAAAGGAATAAAAATAAAAAAAAGCAGAACGCAGCCACCTAACTTAACCTTCACACTAACAAAAAGTTTTCTTGAAAACTTTTTGTGTTAGTAAAGTCTTTATGCCAGTAACAGGTAACGGGAAACAATACTTTTGGTTCGATTTCGTAATAGGTGCATTACGGTTACACATGCTAGCACACTATCATATGGGGCGTTATTAATTAAAACAGCCCTTTTTTTACATATTTCTCATTTTGAGATAATCAAGTTTAATCACTTGTTTTGATTTTCGGACTGATCCGGGATCAATCAAATTTCATGATGTTGATTGGTTAAAGGTAACAGGTGACTATCGGGTAATCTCGTGATGTGTTGGCCTTGGGCAGCCTCGTGTAATTTTTCTTTTATATTATCTTGATTTTTTATTATGCAAATCGACTTTCATTTATAATTGAAAAATGTCGATCATATCAAAATTTATAAGAATCCAATAAAAACTCATTTTTCGAAAAATTGCAAAAAAGGGCTGTTTTAATAGATAACACCCCATATGATATGTGACTGATATGCACACCTGATTTTGTTTATATTTTTTTGGCCAATCAAATTAGCATGTGATTATTTCGAGGGTGACACAATTCGCAATAATCACTGAGTTCAGCGTTCTTGAAACTACCCGTTACTTCAAACATATTTGTCTAAGTCTTAATTTATTTGGACTCAATACCTGGCTCGTTCTGTCATATTACGTACATTTGGATCACTGCGTAACGTTATGAGTATTCGAGGACTTTTGATCAAACTTTGATAATTTATTGGACCATATTCTTGAGTAGATACTCTACTATTAATGCAAGTTTGTTATATAATATTATATAACAACTTACTACAATTCTCGTTCAAAGTTTTCAATATTCTATTTTTATATTAATTATTAAGAAATTTATATAATAACGCTATAGCGTTATAATGCTATACCTTATAATATATATATATATATATTATATATTATGTATAAAAAACTAAGTCTTTAAAAGTACGCTCTGATCTTAAAATTTATTAGCAGATTACATGAAAGTCAAATCGCGCCATTATAAAATTGCGTAATAAATACATAAGTATTAGTAGTATAAAAATTATAATTACATAATTATTACATTTGTTTCTCTATACTGCAGTACTGAACTACCAATTTGCTATTTTTACTTTTATATTTGCTTCACGGGTTATACTAAACTACTAATTTGCTAGTTTTTACTTTACGTTTGTTTTCCAAGTTAGACTGAACTACTCTTCGTTAACTTTTTGAGACTTTTTTCTTATAGTTCACGTCAAGTGAACAAAATTACAGTAAATATGGATAATTCACAAATAGATCAATCTTATACTAAAACAGAAACTGTGATGCTTTACACAGGAAAGAAATTTTCAAATTGGGAGTTGTGCGAAGCTTTTTTAAATAAATGGGCGAAAAAGCAAGGTTTTCACTTAATTAAAGATAGGGTAACCCGTGAAGAAGATATTATCCGGTGACGAACCTTCATATGCGATTATAGTCGAAAATATGACTCAAGCTCAAGTAAAAATACAGGCACAAAAAAGATGCAATGTCCTTGTT